ATGTGCGTAAAGTCAAGAGATATTTGTTGAGTTCTTAAAACTGTATGCTAGTCATTGTGTAAGTATTTTATAATGCATCGTCCCCCTCATTCGCACCAAGTCTGTGCCTCCTGCTCCATCATCATTCTCACTGTGCAGAGCAGAAGCAGAGGAGATGGCATGGAAACCCTGCCCATGACACACACTAGAAGGAGGGGCCCGAGCACCTGTAACCTCACTCTGTGATTCATTCATGACCCTGCACTGTATCTCCCATAGTGCTTGGTCAGCTTAGGAGAATCTCAGACCTCTCTAGCACTGTGGCCTCTATCAAGCAGGGTCTCCCTGACACCCAGCCTTGCTATCTCTAGTAGGTCATTCATGAATGCCTTTGGCCTAGTTGTCAGTGTTGAGGCTCTGGCCAAGGAATTGCCTTTTTCCAGGCATGTAGAATAAGCTCTTGCCCTTATACCCATCATCATATACATGAACACATGGGCCTCACCCTGAACTGCACTTGGTAGATTTGCCACAGATCTCTGTGCCCCTGCATCCTCCCATCCTGTTTCTTCTCCTGGCTCTGCCTAGGGACAGCATGTAGATCTTTCCTGCCCACGACATGTTTTACTGCCATCCCCCCCCTTCCCGCCTTCCCACCTTGCTTCTCTCACCCTCACACTCTCTTTTGATCTTGCAAATCCAGGCCCTTAGAGAAATCAGACAGTATGAAATATGAAAACTGCTTGGGAAGTAATTGAAGAAACACTGCGACTTTTGAAACCCACAGAGATAATACTCACACCTTCTTACTCACGTTATTTAATTTTTAATGGCAGATTTAATTAATGGAGATCAGGTCTTCTGCCTTCAGATGTACTCAAGAAGCAGCTGCAGGCGCGGGAGGAGGGGCAGCTGTCTAGAGCAGAGAAAAATACAATCCAGAAGTGGAACCTCAGGAATCTATAGGGAAGAAAAGTCTCCAAAACTAACAGTTCATGATGATGGGGACTGAAGATATGGGACAGTGCAGGCCCATCACAGAGCTTCCAGAAGCCCAGTAGCCTATGTGCTAACTGTAGCTACTAGTCCCTGGGCCTCAGTGGTCTGGGATCCTCCAGTGCTGATGATCTCTCTGGGAGGACAGGACTCCATCATCCACAGCTGCCTCTGTCCTTTTAAAAATGGGGCTCCTCTGCTATTCCCTCACCTAAAAAGAAAGGGCTTGGCCAGGCTTATTGACTCAGGCCTGTAATTCCAGCACTCAAGAGGCTGAGATAGGAAAATCACTTTGGCTTTAAATCCAGCCTTGTGTAAATATTGAATTCCAGGCTAGCCTGGGCTACAGAACAAAACCTTGTTTCAAAAACACACAAGAAACAACACCCATGCTTTTATTCACCCCTCATTTGAACCCAGGCACTGAGCCTGAAGTTGAGGCTACTTCCCCCAGTGTGCCTCTTGGCCCCTCCCTGCCCTGCTTTCACTATTTGACAGTCCCTGCTTCCCTCATATACCCATACTGACCTTTGGAAAACACCATCCATATTGTTGTCTCTCTTTATTGAGACCTCATCCTTGTTTGGCTCATAATCTGCTTACCCTTTAGTTTGTTAGAAATGAATATATTCTTTAACTCAAGAACCTGACTTCTAGAATGTTTCCTGTAGATAAGCTTATTCACACACAGAGCTACAGGTAAGCACTTGTTTCCCTCAGCACTGTTTACAACAATAGGAGAATTTACTGGCCTAGAGGACATGGTGGGAGCTGCTTGGCATGAGGTGCAGAGCGCTTAACCACAGAACCCTCACCCACACTGTGCTACCTCACAAAGTACCCTCCTTCACAGAGTGCAGAGTGTGCTTCAGTCAGTGTATTCCCTCACAGAGTACTCCTTCTCAGTGTGCTCACCTGCAGTATGTCTCACAAAATTCTCTCTAATTAAAATACTTGCCCACAAACCGTTTGCTAACAAGGTGCTCACAAGTGTGCCATGACCTCACCCAAGGGGGTGTAAAGAGGAAAGTGGGATGGGTCTGGGGAACAAGCTTCAGCAAGCTCACCACTCACTATGGCCTCTGTCCTGCTTTCACTTTTGAAAAACATTGGTGTGACAAAAATTGTGCCTTAAAGTTGGGGTGCTAGTGTCCCATGAAGTAGGCTATGGGCTCCATTGTGAGAACCACCAGAGGAAGTGAGAGGGAGCAAGAGAGATACCTTGGTTTGCTTCAGTTCAGGTATCCACTTCCGAGAAAACAGTCTGATCAAGTTTGCAGGCTGCTTTGGTAGGCACCCACAAAGCATCAAACTACTGGCCTCATGCCCATTTGTCATTGTGACATTGTGTTGTGTGAGCCAGGGCACAGGCTCCACTTGCAAATACCTAGTGGTTCTCAGGATGAGTAAGTTGGCCAGTCCTTAAGAAGCCCACAATGATGACAAGTAGTCTGCTGGGTTCTTGTCCTCAAGGAAGGACACTGGATAACCAGGGCACACAAACAAAAATAGTGACATGATGCACCCCCACTGTGGCATGGAGACCTTCCTGTGCTTCTGTACCAGCTTTTGTGACAAAGCCCATTGCCATGGGTCTACACAGACAGGATGGGACCAGCTGGGGATTTTCACTGAGTCATAATTAAGAAAATTTGGAAGCTACAGTGGGGTGGCCATAACCACTTCTTGGCCTGTGGACACTTCCTATGACAAATCCTACTGACCACATAATTGGCTCCATGTCCTGTGGGACAGATTCCTCCTGCCTACCATACAGAGCAGTAGCTCCTCTTCTGTCTGCCCACAATAGATGCACCCATCTAAGCCCTTGGGTTGTCCCTTTGAGAGGGACTAAGCAGGTAACTGGGCCTAGAAGCCTGTGCCATGACCCTGTGAACACACAGGAGAAAAGAAACTCAGAGATGATTGATCCAGGCAGATTTCTTATGGGGAAGAAAGGCCAGTTTCCATGGAAGGAACTTAGTATGAGGTTCTTTGTGGCTTCAGAAACTGCATGGTTTCTGTATGGGTTAAGGGAGATCTGTGTGCCTGTGTTTTCTGTCACTTTGCAGTTAAGAAAACAAAGCTTGGAGGAAGTAAGTGGTTTACCCACAGACTGTGGCCAGAACACACCAAAATGCTGTCATACTGTGGGCCCATGCATTAGGCCACATCCGCAAGAGGCTCCAGCCCAGTCCTGGTGATCTCAAGGAGGTCACAAAAGAACATCTGCTAGAGGAACAGGCACATACTGATCAGATTGCCTCTGTCCTTATCCTCAACCAGGACAGCCACATCAGGGAATGCCATACTTTTCTGAAGCAGAGCCAGCTCTCTTGATGTGAGGGCAAGGACTCCAGAGGAGAAGTAGAAACCCTTCCTGGGCACAACGTTAGTATAGATTTTCCACTGCCAGGCTGTGAGGAAGACCTATGTTTATTTCATGCCTGGTGTGCTGAAGCTTCTGACCTGCCTTGGAGACCTCGCTGGTGTGGAGAGAGGACACTAGAAGGGATAGGCTAGGTGACCTGCTCCACCCATAGACCCTGGTCTTCCCCGCCAGTAACTTTGTGTTCCTAAACTCCCCTGCAAGAGTCTCCTTTCCATGCTGACCTCCCCCGACCCCCAATCCCTAGGCAACTTTCCCTGAGAATGTAGACAGTGGGAATCACAGAGAGCTGGTTAAAGTAGAGCCTGGGTCCAGTTCAGACCTTCATTCACACCTGTGGTTCCCTAGAGGAAGTCGTCTGCCTTAGTTCCCTTCCCTCTAAACCTTGCCAGGCTCCACACCACAGCATGTACTCTCCTGGAAACCCTGATTCAGACCTCTCTTTCCCTGTCCACCCAGGAACCTGCTTGCTGCTTTTCTTCAGCAGGTAGGTAGGTGGAGCCAGGCTGAGCCTGACAGATGTGCAAGGAAGCACAGCCTTGAGACTTCACTGTCATAGCAACTTGTTTCGAGGACTGACTGATGAACCTAAAACTGTTTGCTCATCTATGAAATGGGGGAGAGTCCCTTCTCAGGAGTGAATGTAGTCAACTCTGCACAGGGCCTGACCGTGGCATATTGCACAAAGGCATCTGCTACTGGCCTGATACCCTACTTGAAACATCTGACCACTTACCCTTGACCCACCCTGTCTCAGCCTCTAGGTTTGGCCTTCCCCCACCCCCTATATGTCTATCCAACCATGCATGGGTGTGAGCACTCCCACCTGAAGTGTTATGTCCTGAGGCTGCAAGGGATGTCAGTATGAGTCTCTGAGAGAAAGTGAAGACGCTGGAGCTTTAGAGAAAAAAGAAAGTGCTAGTCTTGACCTGTGTGGCCAGAAGTGACTAACGAGTTAAGCAATTTACCCATCATCACAATGAAGCACCAGGATTAAACCCAACTGACTTGTTCTTGCTCCTAGGCTTTCCCTGGCAGCCTGACTCTATAAGTGTATGTGCAATGGATAACTTCAGGAAGGACAAGGCACATGCCTTTAGAACTTCCCACAGTGCATCATGGGAAGTAGCAGAGCATGCCATAGCCTGGGAATCAAGACAATGGATAGCCTGGCACTTGCTGTTTTGTCTTGTCATTTGACCTCTTTAGGCAGTGTGGTCCAATTATCCAGTAGGAATTGGAGTAGATCAAGGTCAGAACATTTTTCTTTACTAGTAATGAATGCTTAAGACTTTGCAGACCATTCAAGCTCCACCACAGCCATTCCACTGATACTGTAGGTGTGTATGACTATGGGCCAGTGAAACTTTATTTACAAGCAATGTGGTCAGCAGATTTGGTCTGTGGCATGCAGCTTGCCATGCCCTGAACTAAAAGTTCTCATGGTTTGCCTTCAGCAAGTCACTTTTCTGGGTTTCCATCACCATGGTCAGCATGCTGTGGGAACTAGGACCTAAACTGTGCTCACACCAGTTAAGATATTAGCATCTATCTGATTCTAGTGTGATTTTGTTCCACAAGCTTCCAGAAGAAGATGGCCATCTTTGGTAACCAGTTCTGTGTTTTCTCTTTCTAGAATGCCGAGATATATAAACTGTCTAGCCAGCAATTCCACGAGGCGGCTTCAAAAGCAGAGAGCACAATAAAGTAAGAATCTGCTTATTGTTCTTTGTAAATTTGCCTGCATTTGTGAAAATCCCCTTGTGTGGCTTGAAACCTGCCGCCACCTGCCTGATGGCAAATATCTCTAATAACAAGACAGCCATCTGTTCCTCAGCCCCTCAACTGGGCTAAAGGTAGCCATTGGCCATCAGTAATTTCCCAGCATAGCACACAGTTATTCCCAGTTCCTTGGCATGTTGAAGTGTGCCACAGCCACTGTTTTCTCTAGGGCAGCAGCCGCTTTATTATCTAGCTAGGTAAGGGGCAATGAACAGGCTCCAAGGGCCCTGGGGGAGGGGGGCATCCCTGGCCCTGGCCTTCTACTTTGTGAGGGGTAGGAGTGGGACTCCAAGCATGTCCCCTGAGGGAGCCTGCTGCTCCTGTTGAACACACAGTCCTCTTCTAGCCTAGGCCATTCATGCTCCGGACACTCCATGCTGTGCTTCCAAATGAAAAGGATTCAGAGAGGTCAAAGGTTCATAGGCCAGTGCTCTGCCACATCTGCCATGCTCCTTTGCTATCCTTGAAAAGCCTGAACCAGGATGTCAGAAGCAGGGAGGTGTGGGCTTGTTCATGAATCATTTGGGTGCAGATCCCTAGGGAAGGAAAGCCTCACTTAAGTGTGAAGATGGTCTCTGTGCCAGGAGACTAGAATTCTCCAATGAACTCCTACAACCCTTTCTGCTCCCTTGGCAGTCTCTCTCCCAGCAAATTGGGTAAGTCACCAGAAAAGCCCATCATGGTATAAAATGGTTGATCTGGCAACATGAGAAGATGTCATAGGGGGTTTGAATAGCTATGGTGTGACAAAGTACATCGGGACTACTGGTCAACTCTGTCCCACCAGCTGGCTCCCAAAATAACCACACAGAGACTTATTAATTATAAATGCTTTGTCAATAACTTAGGCTTGCTACTAACTAGCTCTTACAAATTAAATTAACCCATGTTTTTCTTTATATCATGTGACTCAGTACCTTGTCTCAGTGCAGCATGTTCATTTCCTACTTCCTCTATATCTCCTCGTGACTCCTGAGACTCGTGACTCTACCCTTCCCCCTCCCAACATCCTCTCTCACCCAAAAGCTCTGCCTGGCTATAGGTCTTCAGCTCTTTATTAGCCAATGAGAGTACATATTCATAGTGTACAAAAAGATTGTTTTATAGCATTTCCCCTTTAGTCTAATTAAAAAGTAAGATTTTTACTTTAACATAGGAAAACTATATATAGCAAAAACAGTTATCATGTAACTGTTTTGTATTTGTAATTTGTATTTGGCAAATTTAGAGAAAATAGTCTCTTCTTTATCTTTGTGAGTGTAAAGTTTTATACCTAATTTTACCTTTTATCATAACTAAGGAAATCTTTAAGTCTAATTATTTAGTCTTTCACTCCATCAAAGACCCCAAAAGGATGTAATGTTACCTAATAACAGGGGCATCTGGCTGCCTAAACATTCACCCAAAGTTCTACATATTGGGACACCTAGTATATCTTTTTTTTTTCCAGATTCTTTTTATTTGAATTAGAAACAAGATTGTTTTACATGACAATCCCAGTTCCCTTCTCCCTCCTGTCCTCCCCTAACACCGCCCCCCAACTAAAACCCTACCTATCACATATCCTTTCTGCTCCCCCTGGATGGTGAGGCCTTCCATAGGGTGTCATCAGAGTCGATGGTATCGTTTGGGATAGGGCCTAGGCCCACCCCCGTGTGTCTTGGCTCAGGGGGGATTCCTCTCTGTGGAATGGGCTCCCAAAGTCCACACCTGTGCTAGGGATAAGTACTGAACTACAACAGGAGGTCCTGTAGATTTCCTAAGTTTCCTTAATGAAATCCATGTAAGACCTAGTATATCTTGTGGATGGAATTTCTGTTCCACCTGGTCCCACAGCTATTTGGACCCAAATAAACACACAGAGGCTTATATTACTAATCAACTGTTTAGCCAATAGCTCATGCATCTTTTTGGCTAGCTCTCTCTTAATTATTAACCAGTAACTATTAATCTTAAGTATTTCTATATGGCCTTTTCTTACTGGAGAATTCCCGGTGTCCTGTCTTCCCAGTAGCTACGTGGCATCTCTCTCTTGCAGCTTCTCTCCCTGTCCTCCTCTTCCCAGCATTCTTCTAGTCTGGTAGCCCCACCTATACTTCCTGGCTACCGGGCAATCAGCATTTTATTAAACCAATAAGAGAAACATATATTCGCAGCATACAGAAGGACTCCACCATCATCTCCTCTTTCTGTCTAAATAAAAAGGAAGGTTTTAACTTTAACATAGTGGAATTATATATAGCAAAAGAATTATCAAGCAAGAACTATAGTTAACAATATTTAGTCTACTAACATTTGGCAAAATTCAAGGAAAATATTCTGTCATCTATCCTATCTTTGTGAGTCTAAAGTTTTACATGTAACTTTTATCATAACTAAGGAAAACAAACTATCTGTCTTCAACTCCACCAAAGACCTCAGAAGGATAATATATAAACTGTAGAATTGACAGAGACATCTCAATGCCTGGACAGTCACCCAAAGTTCCTCTGTAATGTTGGAGCATCGATCTTCAGCCTATAGGCCATAGTGTGTCTAACAGACTTCTCAGCCAAGCAGGAAATTTGAAACTGTTCCATCTGTATTGACAGTTTGTCAGTCATTTTTCTCTGTGTCCTGCAGAATGTCTAGTAGACTCTTCATGAAGCAGGAACCCTGAAGGACTGTCCCATCTTGTTTTGACAGGTTCAGCAGTCACTTTCCTGTGGGTCCTTCATGTCCAGTTTATACAATCAAGTAGTCCAGGAAAGATCAGCTTCTTGCCCAAATGGCTAGTCTTGCCATATTGAAAGCAAACTCCATAATGAGTTTCTTCAATGTCCTTCTTCCTCTCTGATGTAATTGGTGTTTCCAGGAGCAATTGTGTCTCATTGTCATGAAAAACCCTAACTCTCTCTCTCTCTCTCTCTCTCTCCTCTCTCTTTTTGGTTTTTTGAGACGGGGTTTCTCTGTGTAGCTTTGGAGCCTATCCTGGTACTCGCTCTGGAGATCAGGTTGGCCTCGAACTCACAGAGATCCGCCTGCCTCTGCCTCCTGAGTGCTGGGATTAAAGGCATGCACCACCAACGCCTGGCTTCTAGTAAACCATTTTAAATGCCATATTCTGTAGGTCTTTGAATGATTTTGAAGAACACCAATCTGTTTTAAATATATCTCTTTATAGCTACAAATCTGCCTAACACCTGTAAGTTTTGACTATTATAGGTGATTATCTATAATCTGTATTTAATTACATTTTTAAATGAGCTGTATAAACATAATATCTCAACAAGAGTAGAAATATGCATATAACAAAATTGACCTTAAATTTGTATCAATAAACCAAAATCTATACCAATGCAAATATTCATTTCTATATCATATCCCTTTGTTTTCTTTAAAAAGAGATTAATTGTGATTATAAACCATTAATAACCAAGCTCGTTTAAATGAAAACAAACATTTATAAACAATATTTGAGAATTTGGGTGTCGATCTCTCCAAATGGTTTCCTGTTGTTTGGGGGCACTGTCAGTCCCAAGGGAATCCTGAGAAAACCCAGAACCATGCAAAAATCCTGGCTGTAGTGGTCTGAGACTGCAACCTCAGCTGTTTTGGATGTTGGATTGATCACCTGGGCCACAGCTTCAGAGGGCTTTGGTTGATCAAACCATATTAGTCTGGAAGGAATCCACAGCTTTTCATCTTCTGTGGAAACAAAAGCAGAACCTCTCCCTTAGACTTAAATTTTGAAGTCAAAACATTTTCAAAATATATAGGTTAGATTAATCCAACAGCATTTATAATCAAATGTCTTTTAGCAGCTGTTGCTCCTTCCTCAGCAATAAAACAATTCAAAGACAACATACAGTATCCAGACTCTGTGTATTTTCCATTATTATGTGGCCTTTTTTTACTACTCTATTTCTTTTATTTTTATTTTTATTTTTTGAGGCAGGATTTCTCTGTGCTTCTTTGGCTGTCCTGAAATTCATTCTGTAGACCAGGCTGGCCTTGAAATCACAGAGATCCTCCTGCCTCTGCCTCTAGAGTGCTGGGATTAAAGGTGTATGCCACCACACCAGCTACTCTATTTCTTTTTTAAGGACTTTATACTTTTGCTTTTCTCTCCCAAGCCTATGTATATATTTTTTAACACACTGTAAACCATTTACTAGTTTTTCTTTATCTGAATCAGTCTTTTCTGTACATCTCTATCTTTTTTTGACCACGAGTCTTTAATCTGCTAAGCAGCATGGGTAAAATTAAATCAGCAGCTAATCCCACCCTATTCCTTGACTTTCTGAGAGTCAAGCTTCATTTCTAGATTCATGTTTATTGCCACAACTCTGTGAAGTTTCTAGGTCCATGTCAACACCAAGAAGCATGCTGCCAGCTTTTCATAAACTTCATTTAATTGTTTGGTAGTCAAACCTCTTAAAAGAGCTGTGCAGTTTTTGCAGCTAACCCTGAGTCAGGAAGCCTCTCTTAAAGGAGCCATGCCTCTACTTGTCTCTAGCAAACAGAGCCCACCCAAGAAAATGCTGCTACCAAGAAACCATGCTTGATTTTGTTCTTTTGTTTTTAAAATCCCTTTTTAAACTTTTGTCAGGTTTTACATGGAGATTCTTTCCCCATGTGTGGCCACCATTTTTCAACAGTTTCTGTTCTACCTGGTCCCAAAGCTGTTTGAACCCAAATAAACACACTGAGGCTTATATTAATTATAAACTGTTTGGCCAATGGCTCAGACATCTTACTGGCTAGCTCTCTCTTTAATTATTAACCCATAATTCTTAATCTAAGTATTTCTACATGGCCTTATCTTACTGGAGAATGCACAGTGTCCTGTCTTCCCAGTAGCTACATGACATCTCTGTCTTGAGGCTTTTCTCCCTGTCCTCATCTTCCCAGCATTCTTCTAGTCTGGTAGCCCCACCTATATT